GCCCAGGCGGGTCTCGAACCCGCCGGCTCAGGCAATCCACTCACCTCAGCCTCCCAAAGATGCAGGATTACAGGCTGAGCCACCGAGCCCGGCACCTTCCATAATCTTTATGGGTGTATCAGTTAGGACCCCAATAGGAAATCCTTTTGAAGGTACACTCAAATTAGGGTCAATTGAATAGGGTTTAATTTACAAAGCATCATTTGAGGAGGGCTGAGATATAAGGCAACATAGGAGATAGAAAACCAGGGAATAGCAAAGGTTTCATGATACCAAAGGCCCAAAGGGTCAAAGTTAAGGAGAGGGACATAGGTAAAGTAGTTTGTTTTACAGGGTGGAGTAACTCTGGAACACAGCTAGCCCTAGGTCACCTCACAAGAAGGGAACCAGGGGAGCAAATACTCTGATCTTGCACGCCTTTCTCCCTCAGATGATCTCCTATCATCAGACTCAATCATAAGCTAGAGGTTATAAGATGTGAGCCATACAGGTTAGTTCCCGGACAGAGAGCAGATGGAGAAGGATGGAGAGTGAATCTGTGGGACCAAAAGAAAGCTATCCAGTCCAGTGCCCTTACTAGGTACCAGGCACTTGCTGTGCAAGAGATAAAGATATGGTCCTACTCTCAATCGACTCCCAAGTGGGTTAGGATGACAGTCCAATAAACAGAACTTCAATACAGTATAATAAGTATCATATAGAAGTCAACACAGCGTGCTATGGACACATATATGACAGGAATCTCTTTTGCAAATAAATGTAGGGGGTACTGGGTGAAGGTGCTAGTGATTTGACTGGGAAAATCTCCCTGGAGCTTATAGTTGGTAAGACAATTTGGAGCCCATTTAAATTAGGATAACTTTTACTATTTATTTATTTTATTTTATTTTGAGACAGAGTCTCACTCTATAGCCCAGGCTGGAGTACAGTGGTGCAATCATGGTTCACTGCAGCCTTGACCTCTTAGACTCAAGTGATCCTATCATTTCAGCCTCCTGAGTAGCTGGGACTACAGACACGTGTCACTATACCTGGTTAATTTTTTTTTTTTTTTTTGTATAGGAGTCTACCTCTGTTGTCCAGGCTGTAGTGCAGTGGCATAATCACAGCTACTGCAGCCTTGACCTATTGGGCTCACCTTTTGAAGGTACACTCAAATTAGGGTCAGTTGAATAGGGTTTAATTTACAAAGCATCATTTGATGAGTAAATACTCTGCCTAACGGGTTCCTTCCTGAGTAGCTGGGACTACAGGCAAGGCCTTGCCATGTTACCCTGACTGGTCTCAAATTCCCGGGCTCAGGTAAACCTCTCTCCTTGGCCTCCCAAAGTGTTGGGATTACAGGCCCGAGCTCTGGTGCCCGACCCCCAGCTGTAATATTTTAATGATTTAGGTTTTTTTTTGTTTGTTGTCCTGTTTCGTCTTAACAGCTAGTCTGTGGATTTTTTTTTTTTTTTTTGAGTCAGGATCTCACTTTGTCACCCAGACTGGAGTGCAATGGCATGATCACAGCACACCACAGCCATAACCTTCTGGGCTCAGATGATCCTTCCTCTTCAGCCTCCTGAGTAGGTGGGATTATAGGAACGTGCCACCAGATCCAGCTAATTTTTTTATTTTTTGTAGAGACGAGGTCTCACTATGTTGCCCAGGCTGGTCTTGAACCCTTGGGCTCAAGCATTCTTCCTGCCTTGGCCTCCCAAAGTGCTGGGATTACAGGTGTGAGCCACCATGCCTGGCCTTGTGGATCTTTAATAAATGCAAGCCAAGTACAAGATTTTGTAATAGTATTTCTTGTTCACAGAATTCGACTTTAAGTTTTGAAAATGAGTGATCTTAAAAGAACTAAATTTAGGGAGGAATATAATAGTTTGAAAACAAATTGTGTAAGTTTATTACATAGTGAAAGTTAAAGTCATACATAACGAGGACTAAACTTGTGTAAACCGCTAATAGACAAGTTTAAATTGGGTTAATATTCATATTATTCAATATTCTCTTTATGTTGCTTTCTTTATTCAACATTTTCTTCTTATTCATTCTTCTTTTTTTTTGAATTGGAGCCTCACTCTGTCGCCCATATTGGAGTGCAGTGGCCGCTCCCGCAGCCTCGACCTGCTGGGCTCCGGCGATCCTTCCGCCTCAGCCTTCCGAGTAGCCGGAATTACAGGCATGTGCTACCACGCCCAGCTGATTTTTTGATTTATTGTAGAGATGAGGTCTTGCTGCCCAGGCGGGTCTCGAACCCGCGGGCTCAGGCAATCCACTCACCTCAGCCTCCCAAAGGCGCGGGATTACAGGCTGAGCCACCGAGCCCAGCCGTATTCATTATTCTAACCTTCAAGAAAATCCTATAATGACTCTACATATTGACACATTCTAACAAAAACAAGCAACCTCATTATATAACACCTATACATGATTATAAGAAAAATACATATGGAATTTTTTCTTTTTTTTTGGAGTTGGAGTCTCACTCTGTCGCCCAGGCTGGAGTGCAGTGGCATGCTCATGGACACCCCAGCGTCGACTTGCTGGGCTCAGGCAATCCTTCTGCCTCAGCCTTCCAAGTAGCAGCAACTACAGGGGTGCGCTACCACGCCCGGCTAATTTTTTATTTTATTGTAGAGACAAGTTCTTGGCCAAGTTGCCCGGGCTGGTCTCGAACCTGGGGGCTCAGGCAATTCACTTATCTCGGCCTCCCAAAGTGCTGGGATTACAGGCTGAGCCACCGATCCTGGCCTACATATGGAATTTAAGGTTAAATGGTAATTCCGGCTACTCGGAAGGCTGAGTGGAAGGATCGCCGGAGCCCAGCAGGTCGAGGC